CATTTGTGACCGTGATGTTCAATTGTGATATCTTCAGTCTGTGCGTCGGTGGCACAGTGGTTAGGACTTCCGCCGGCCATGCACATGGACCGAGGTTCTACTCCCTGCCGACGCACACCTGATATCTATGGTCGGCCTGTAAAATTTGGGCTACCGATATCACATGCTGAAAATTCTATACTTGTACCAAAAATACGGTGTGGAATAAAGCTATAATAAAAAAATCTCAAGTTGACTATAGAAGGTTAAGCATTTTCTTATGGAATAATTGTAAACCATAGAAGCATTTTGAAAATTTCCCATTTAGTGTTGTTTTTCGTATGTTTCCTGTCTTGACTGTATATCAACAATCTTGTAAAACCTTCGACAGCATTCAAACCGTATCTCCTACCAAAGCATGCCTGATTATACATGAAGATGATGGAGTAAGACAGTGGTGGACTTTTGGAACTGGATGTTCTATTAAGGTTACTGCAACACTATCATGCTCAAATACCTTGTATTGATGGCTGAAAACGTTAAACCCTTTTATTTTGAAGTGTTCTTTCTACCTTTATGTAGTCTCATGTAGACAAAGTTTGCAAATTATAGGCAGAGTGTGTGTTTATTAATAGTAACAGACACATTATGACAGACCACCGATCCCTAATAACTGATCTTGTCTGTCACAATCATCACGTGATTGTTCATTATCCTAGAGTATGATCCTGCCACTTGAGGTTAGCCTTCGATAACTGTTGTATTCTGTAAATGTAATCGAATGATCACTTTGTTCTACACACCAATACACTTCGCTACGTTTTTGTCCATCCTTGAATGGCGGTTGTTTTGTATGGTAATCTTTGTGTAACTGTATCGTTTCCTTTATAATTTAGAAAAAGATAAAGTTTATCACAAGTCCTCTTGTTTTAACTATTACTAAGTCTACAGGCGCCGCGAGGACAACGCTTGAAGATAAAGACATACGGTCTTCGTCCAAACTGAAATAAAGCCAACTTGTTCCAAAGAAATGCGACCACATCCAGAATAAACGGTTTCAATTACAACTGACTAAATCCAAAACAAAATGGCTCCAAATAGAATTGTATTGATAACAGAATGCTGAAGTACTGAAAGATTATTGTTCTTCACATATGAGGTTATCCTAAGTCCACATACAAAGAGTTCGATAGTCGAACCCAAAAGTAGCTAGAAATTAATACAATGTCAATCAAACAAGAAATGTACAAGAGTTCAATGAAGCACAAACGGTTAAACTAACGCAAAATACACAATTGTATATAAAACAACTTTATTGATTAAAGGTGGACATATTAGACATAGCACTAAGCCTAGACATTGTATCATCAGTATCGGTAGTAAGGCCTAAGGTCTTTAGGCGAATTTGCCTACTTAATCTTACAGCTTCCCCTTTGTAACCACCAATAGCGGTTATCCTAACTACATATCCTATATAATACATGTTACAGAATACTTACATTTGCATTAGCTGCATTAAACAAACACCTGGAATAATATGCACATGATTTACATTACTGCTGATTGCACACTTTACCATTTTTAATAGGAGAGAAGTGTGATATGAGTGAGTCTGCAGTGTTTATTAAAACGGCAAACGGGATTTCATAATACAAAACAGGAACGTGGGTACAGAAAGATAATAATATAAATGCAATATGAGGGATAATTTCGAAATAAGATAGTGCGGAAGTAATACAAAGAGTTTCAGAAAACAGATATACAAACAACCATAACATGGAGTGGTCAGTGACATTTCGAAAGATTGTATCCAACTTTTGCCTACTTTACAGGACTTAACCCAATGTTAGGATCTAATCATCTGTGGAGATTACTCATGTGTTGGTGTCCTTCACCATAGATGGGGATGCGCGAGTTATACACGTCATTTTTGTATTGTAATCTCAGCTCCATATACTTGACATTTTCAGAATTCCTGATATTACTAATGTTATAACTCTTAAATCACACAGTGAGACAGTGTGAACAGAAAAAGCATTAGAAATAGATTACAAGCTGGAACTCTTCTTAAAGCAATGTGCGAGCAGCAATAAAGAAACGACAACGCTAAAACAAAGAACTATCAATCTCCGTCACACTGACTATATGATAGAAGTTTCCTGCTTATTTCACGATAGAAGTACTCGTTTTAGCAGTTGACTGTTCTTAGGATAATATATGTTTTGAATAACTGAGCACGATTTTCCCATCCACAGTGATAGAAGATTTATGTGGAGTGACCAAGTATGCAATATTTCCAATAGAAAAGATTCAAAAGAGGCAACCAGATACAAAGGTGGCAAAACAGAAAATGTTGTACTGAAGTACTATATTACTATTCAGCGAACTACAACTCGATATCTTACAATAGTAACTCATATCATTCCTGTAAAAATGGCATACATGCCATGTAAATTCACTTGTTTACATGCAAAATATTTTTCTATTCTTATTATTATTGTAATTACTATTAATATTACTATAACAACTGCTATAATTATTATACAATTCACAGATGACAGTACGACAGACGCGTGACTGTATGGTAATAAAATGTAACAATAAGACAGACATGTACGCGATGTTTGGTCGATAACCAAACGATGAGTTTCCGTCTTCAGTACAGAATTAAACATTATTGCATGACTTACTTTAACGCAATCGTGACCAGTTGCATTATTTATACGCATTTCGTGCCTCTTTTAGTTCACCTCATTGATACATAGCTTTAGGGAACTGGGACTTTTGTTTCCGACTCGGAAGTTTTTTTAATTGCTTATGTGAATATTTGACTTTTGTGTCCGTATGATTACCTACGGTTATCGTTAATCCTAGTCAAGATGCTTATATAGGATTCTTTGACATTCAGTAATCAAGTATTCATGTACCTTAAAGTATGCTGAACGAAAGAGATCCTAGTAGTAATTGGAGATGAATAAACCGCAAGTACATGTTGTATACAGTCGATGTCATCTACATTTATCAGGTTGTAAGCCAACGTTATTACTTGTGTATTCTTTTATTTGAAAATTAGACTTCGAATTAATCAAAGCTAATCATTTCACCTTCTTGCTTGATGTGCTTGGCAGGCAGAAAATGAACACACGTAAACACGTATGTTTCCTTATACACGTGATGCCAATATACAAATTTCTCTCAATTACATAAGTCTAATACGCATCAAGATTATGACGCATGAACAGGACATGAAGAAAATGTATCTGCTAGGGTGTCGTCATAGCCAATCTTCATGCATTTGATCCAACCGAAAATATTCTTAACGCCTGTTTGTAATTGTAATCTCAGGAGATTAAAGAGTGTCAGTAGATGAGACGCTGAAATCTACTTATTACTGTTGTGGTGATACGATGCAGACAATGTGTTTCAGCGGAATATTATTCTCAAATATTCCGACAGTTTAATACTGTATTAGCAACAGAATACCATGTGTATTTTAAACTTTTATTTCACGTCGTTTAATGTAAACAAAAGTTACACGCTTAGTGATTGGTGAAATAATATAAAACTATATATATATATATATATATATATATATATATATTATATATATATATATATATATATATATATATATATAATATATATATATATATATATATATATATATATATATATATATATATATATATAGTTTTATTTTGTCTAAATTTGGACTCTCAGTATATAAGTTACATAAGTGTAGTTTCCAAACACTGTTTATTAATTGTGTAGTCTCTATTTAACTGACATCATGCTACCGTTGCAAGTAAGTTACAATTTCTTTAAACGAAGAATTGATTGTTTAAGTTGTACGCAACTAATGAGAAGCCAATTAATAAATGATGACATTTGAATAAAACAAGAACAACAGTTTGGGCACAATAAGCTGGTACCATCGTTTGTTTCGTCGGTTTCTCATCAGCTTCTTTCAGCATGAAGGAATTATTAGGCTTATGTATAGAACAATTTCAACATACTTGCAAATGTCCATGATATCAGTTGACAGGAGCCTCTGGAATTAGTGAACAGTGTTCAGAAAATTACACTTATGCAGTTTTTACCCAGAGAGTTCAAGTTTAAACAAAAGTGATTGTTTGGATACAATGGTAAAAGTGTTACGTAATAAAGACGAGGTGAGTAAGATGATGAGTGACTAATAAATTGAGTAACTATATAGTGAGTTCAGCTCAAACTATAGGTAAGCAAAAGTTACACTATGTAAAAGAGGGAACAGGTTAAATACAAAGATTACGTGATTGAATGAAAGAGACAGTAAAGATGCCTAGTTGCCAGGGCAGAGAAAGTTTGATAAGCGTTTCTTTAGGTATTTGATAATGACTGCTTCGGTTGATTTGAGGAAGACAAAACTGTTTCGTTTATCGATAATTTTAAAGGTCTTCATTATGTCCAACTGCGACCACAGATACATGTAAATTTATTCCTTCTCAATCTACTAGTTAATTATCAACTTACTCACCTCGTCTCTATTGCGTAACACCTTTACCATTGTATGCAAACACTCACTTTTGATTAAACTTGGACTCTCTGGGTAAAAACTGTATTAGTGTAATTTTATAAGTACTGTTCGCCAATTCCAGAAGCTCCTGTCAACTGATATCACTTAACATTTGCAAGTATGTTAAAATTGTTGTGTACATAAACTTAATGATTCCTTTATGCTGAAAGAAGCTGATGAGAAGCCGACGAAACAAACGATAGTACCAGAGTATTGTGCACAAACTGTTGTTCTTGCCTTATATGAAATTCATAAAGGGGAATAAATGTACGGAAATGATGGTACCACCTTATTCTGAAACAACCGCTGGTTTTGCTGTTTTCAAATTCATAAAATGGAACAAATATATGAAGCATTTTGATTACTTTACTTCCGAAGTTATAAAAACAAAACAGTTGTCAAAATAGATTTTATTAACCACCCTAGAAGTAGTGCATATTACACACTGTACACACTGGAAGTGAATTTAAAGAGTGAGTTTCCTCCATTTCGATGAGTCGATAGGATCAGTAAAGTGTCGATTTTCAAATGACGTTTCGATATGGTCTTCAGCTTCACCTTCCACTGCAGCACTGAACCAATCTGGTGGTAATGGATGTAAATTTTGTGAAATTTTAGTTTCATTACGAACTACAATAGTTTGAGCAGCAATCAATCGTTGTTCCAACAGTTCCAAGGCCTTTAGTGTTATAACTAATGTATCATGATGTACCATAGACCAAACATTTAAGCTATGTACTGGCATAAATGTTAAACCTCTTCCTGGATGAGTAGCCCGAGGAGCTATAGCATCTGGTTTAAATGCTGATGATTCTGGAGAGATTTCAGTTTTCACGTGGTTTTCATAAGAACTACAAGCTAGACAAATCGCTAAGTTGTTTGTGCTTGTATTATTAGTTATCTCATTTACGCCATTAGAAATGACATCACTTCCTGGTTGTGGGATAGACAGTTGACATGCTGGAGAATGCCTGAAACAAAAATTAAAAGAATAATTTTGCAAGTATGCTGTGATTGAGGGATATTTGCTCTTTTTTTGAATATGTGTGTGTTATTTATCAAGATAAATCATACAATGACACAATCTACTAAAACATACAGCATGAGTCTGTGTAAGTGTTTGATCAAATTCTACTACCATTGCGATAAATGGGAAAGAATACCAAAAACTGTAGAAATCGAGTTTCGAAGTTTTGTAGTTACTATTTATATGATTATAAACAAAAAGTTGCTCCTAAACGTTATCCAGTAGATAATATTGCTTTATACTATATGTGGTACATCAAATGAACCAATTAAGTTTTGATCCAAAGATTAATAGCAGATAGACAGCAAGTGAAAACCAGGGAGTACTGGATAGGTTTTTTCGTCCTAGTTTGGGCCCCTCCGCAAATCAACACTTGAAAATTAATCTAACGTCCACTTGTGACTGTGTATCTAAGTTTTCAGTGAGATGTGACCTAATGGAGTCCCGCAGGTGGGGTTTGAGGACATGCCAATGAAGATGCCTAGAGGTCAACATATATACATATATATACATCGCGAATTGGCACAAGTTATAATTCATGGATCATTGGATTCCATCCCATTATTTGAATGGTCAATGGGCTCATCCCGTCACCTAGTCTTGGGTTTGATATTCGGTGGAGTAATGAGCGTGTACCGATGAAGAAACCCGTAATAGAACGAATCGGGTGTCCAGTACTTCCTGGCCATCTCAATCGTTATAGCTTTACAACCTTATCGATTGACTTGTCGTGTCTACTTAACACTCTGTGTCTAACTTCAGTACTACTGTCTATGATATGCCTCTTACCTTGGGAGATAGGAAGTAAACATCTACGGTCGAAGACAGCTAGCTTTTTGCATAACTTCCACTTTTAATAGCCATGTTTCACAGGCATAAGGAAGCACAAACTGAATAGTTGCGTATTACACATGTCCCTTGACAGACAGATAGACGAATTATAACTTTTGAGGCATAGGTGACTTAAGTTAGGAAATGCTACACAAGCCTTCTGTCAAACGTGTGAATTCCAAGTCTCACGATAAAAGCTAAAAAACTGAAGTTAATTCGTCTTCCTGAACTAATTAATCGACAACTAATTCACAAAAGTGTAAAATGACAGATAAAATTAGGATTCATTAGTGAAGCTTATTTATTTATTCCGTTCTGAATGGCGCAGATGCCTTCAATCTACGCAATCCTATCGATTCTCACTGATTCCTCATGTTTCTCTATGTTACTGTTCTGTTTTTCTCCCCTTACATTTCTCTTTTCATTAACTTTTGTGTGTTACATGAAGTGAGTCAACAAGAACTCCTGAATTTCTTTGCAAAGTTGTACGCTGAAACTCAGTTAGTCAGTCAGTGAAGCTTATTTTCGAAAAAAAATTATGGTCACGTGAAAGTACGCAGTTCGACCGTTCAGTTATCAATTTTTAATCCTAGTGATCCAAATTATAGTCGACAACGTTGGGGGATGTAGAAATTTGCACAAATGTATAGAGAACTCAGGTACAGAGTGGCCGTGTATACATACCACAACGTGATTTTGTGCCAAACGATGAAAAAACAAAATATTGACTGGACGCTATACGAGCTTATCTTGCAACTGATATGTTTCTGGTTCGAACCCCGGTGGGTATGTTCTATTGAAGACTCCAAAGCTAGAACAAAATAACTGTTTAGTACCTTCTGGTTTTCAATGGCCCTCTAACTGACATCAATCCGTGATCACACTTGAAAATACTGACTAACTAACTTTTCAACGTTAAACTTTGCACACAAATGTAGAAGTTCAAATAGTCACACTTTAAAAACACAAACACAAAGGTAGGGAAAAGAAATGCAACACAACCATAATAAACAAAAACGTACGGAATAAAGAATATTGTCATATAGAAAGTAATGAGGATAGAGTGGGTCTAGAAGATATGACCAGATGTGAATGCATTTGTGCTAATGAGAACAATTTTGTGCCATAACACCAATACTCTTCATTTATTGTTCCTTAGTATCTCAAGTACCCCAAGCCAGGAAGACTAAACTTCCCCAGGTGGTTCAAAGATTTCATAGATTGATGTTATTGTATTCCTATTAACAGCACTATGTAAGGTATAGATCAAACCTTTTGACTTAGTCCTCTTCGCTACTACTTTTAGCTTAAATAAAGCAAATGTACACACGTTGTACAACAGTCTACATTGCATATCACTTCAAATTTAAAATACACAAGTCGGATAAAGAAGTATCGACGATAAGTAGATGAAGTGAAACAACATAGGTCAGCGTGAAACAAATATTATGTAATAAACATAATCCAGACATTGAAAATCTCCTACATTTTGTAGCCTACACTTATCCCAGCCTTTTGCAAGACCAAAACTGCGTACGGTACCATCCTGCGTTGCAACCACCACCCGAGTGCCCTTCCCCAGTCGACCATAAAAAAGGACTGTGTGGCCACTCCAGTGACCACTCCCGAACGCACCTGATTAGGGTTCATCGCGAGTTCCAACTCAACAAGGTAAAGTGGTGAGCCTCCAACTGGGTTTAAAGCATTCTTGATGACACTGGACTTAGCGCGTCAAGTAAGCTATCAACTAATAACTCAATAGTGCCTACATGGACGGGGGTGTATCCCAAAAGGCCAGCCCTTATCACAAACAGCTTCATTATTATATAACCTGAGATTTAAGGCTTAACGATGACATTCCTCAGGAACTCAATATTTCTTACTAACAAACAAATGTTTGCATAAGACTTAAAATCAAGTAATCTACACTTTAGGAAATTAATATTATATGTAAACAAGCTTACTCATCTACAAACAAAACAGATGGACCCCATCGACGAGTATCTACCAGTTGACGGACATAAATTGCCGCTTCATTCATTGTCTTAGTTAAACGATAGTGACGTGTTTTATTGAGTGGAGATAGTGGATCTTCTAAAGCGTCTGGATCATGCATTGCAGCAGCTTGTGCTTCAGTTAATATATTCTTAGCTTCTTCTTCCAATTTCTCCGATAAAGTGAAATCATCGACAATATGTAAATCATTCTAAAAATAATCATCATCATGATAAGAATAACATTAATAACATATACTGTGAGACAGAACGAAAATAACTCTGAGAATTTAGAAGAAAGAAATGCATACACGGATTCACTGGTATTGTCGATTGGTATTATGATACTGAGACATTTACCGACTGAAAAGAAATTAAGAACATCCACTAATTCACGTAAATATTCTAAACTTATAATTAACTTATTTTTTTAAAGGAAAACTCCAACTAGAGAGAAAAATAACTAAACTCCAACTCATCAGTGTGACAAATTATGAAAAGGAAATTGTGAATGATAGTTCAAAATCCATACATGTATTTTTCCTTGGAATTGTTTTGTTTTTCTTAGTGGGGATACAGGTCCATCCAGCTGGGACGGATCCCACAGGTTCTGCGCTCAACTACTAGCCCCATAGACAACTTGGTAGTGCGGAGGGTGGGTAGACTTTGATCTTCACCAAAAAAATCGCTTTCATGTGGCCACGCATCCGCAGCCTCTGTCAATTAAGTCCTATTCACTGCCTTCATGCAACCGAGGTGCTGTCTACAAAAGTGAAAGGGCGATTGCGAACATCACGCGCCTACAACCGGACTGGTGGATATGCTGGTCTACCTACGGGAGTTGGAAACCCTTGATTCCAAACCTGCGTTGTACGTGGGCTCGAAAATCCCAATGAACGAATGGTGTACAAACCTGGTTTAGTCACCAGAAAATTATAGGGAAGTAACTCCTGACGGCTGCTCTACTGCCTTGTAGGTGAAACTTCAAGTCAAAAGCTCAGGGATGGCCTCTGGAGACGTCTATCTGCTTCCATATGGGCGACTGGACAGTATTTCAGTCTTCGCACACATTTTGAGATTTTGTGTGGTACATCTCTTGAAGCCACAATGTACCAATTTTCTTTTCCAATAAATAAATAATATCACCAGTCAAGTAACGGATATTTCAACAAAAATTTAACTAAATTATTTAAAAATATTAATGAATGTCGCGGCGGTGGCACAGTGGTAGAATGCTTCCAAACCACATATGTGGTGCGGGGTTTGATCCCCAACCGACGCTTTCCCAAACCTCGCTAAGCCAGTAATAAGAATGGTGAAGAGGGAACTTTTGACGTGAAGATAGCAAACCCATCCCGTGAAAATAAATACCACTGCTACTCAGACTTCAAGAGTCTAGCTTATAGCCTCATTTTCCAATAGGAACGTAAAAAAGATGAGAAAAAATAATTCACAAATGAGAGAATAAAGACATCCAGTTACCAGGGAAAGGAAAGACTAATAACTGCTTCTTTCTGAACACATAAATCTGGTTTCAAGCGTTTGATAGAAATTGCTTCGGTAAACTTGAGGAGAATGGAGCTCCTTTGTCTATTGATAATTTTGAAGGATTTCTCGATTTCCACCTCATGACCCGTGTCGAGGAGATGTCTGGTAATAGCGCTACTATAAGAGTTTGTTCCTTTGAGACATAGGCTTTTCGGCACATGTTCAGAAAATCGGAGGTATGCCCTTCTTTCTGTTCTCCCAATGTAACTGATTCCGCAGATATACGTAAATTTGTATACACAGTTGGAGTTAACATCAGAAGGATATCTATCGACTTTTGACTGCACCAAAGAGCATACTGTTCGATGGACGAGAACCAACTTAGCTGCAGGATAGGCTCTGGCTAGTGACGTTCTCAGTCTTTTGTTGACCATTTCTGCAATGTTTTCACCTTTAAAATGTAGTTGAATGAAGACAGGCTTTTTTTCAACTGTGATTTGTTTGGTGTTTGAGCCTTCACATCTTCAATATTTTTTAATGAATCTTTGAGGATAATCTTTGTTTTTCAGCACCTTTTCGAGATTCGTGAATTCTTCCTCTAGTTTCTCTGCAGAGCATATTCTCCTCGCTCTATACTACAGAGTCTTGACTAGTGCTCGTTTATAGCTATTTGGACAAAAACTATTAAAATGTAAGTATCATCCATTCCATGTGGGCTTGTGGTAAATTGACCTCTGGAGACTACCATCTTCTAGGCGTTTTATGGCGACGTCAAGGAAATGGAACTGTTCATCATTTTCATGTTCCATAGTAAATACAATATTTGTATGTGCGTTGTTGAATAGTCTGAGTAGGTAGGAGGCATGACTTTCGTTGTTGCATACTACAAATGTGTCATCGACATATCGACAATAGGAAGTTGTTTGATCAACTGCATGCTTCAACTTTGTTTTCTCACGGTTCGACATGAAGATATCTTCCAAACCAGGGCTAAGTGGACTGCCCATAGCTACACCATCTATTTGTCGGTAAAAAGTGTTGTCAAACTGGAATTGTACACCCATGGTACACATTAGCAGTAAGCGTTTGAATTCCGGCTCTGGTAGTGGGAGAAGATCAGACTGTTGACAAGTGATCTCAATGGTTTCATTGATTTGGATCATTGTGAACAAGGAGGTTGCATCAAATGAAGCCATGAACTTATTTGAAACAACGGTTATCCTCAAAGATTCATTAAAAAATATTGAAGATGTGAAGGCTCAAACACCAAACAAATCACAGTTGAAAAAAAGCCTGTCTTCATTCAACTACATTTTAAAGGTGAAAACATTGCAGAAATGGTCAACAAAAGACTGAGAACGTCACTAGCCAGAGCCTATCCTGCAGCTAAGTTGGTTCTCGTCCATCGAACAGTATGCTCTTTGGTGCAGTCAAAAGTCGATAGATATCCTTCTGATGTTAACTCCAACTGTGTATACAAATTTACGTATATCTGCGGAATCAGTTACATTGGGAGAACAGAAAGAAGGGCATACCTCCGATTTTCTGAACATGTGCCGAAAAGCCTATGTCTCAAAGGAACAAACTCTTATAGTAGCGCTATTACCAGACATCTCCTCGACACGGGTCATGAGGTGGAAATCGAGAAATCCTTCAAAATTATCAATAGACAAAGGAGCTCCATTCTCCTCAAGTTTACCGAAGCAATTTCTATCAAACGCTTGAAACCAGATTTATGTGTTCAGAAAGAAGCAGTTATTAGTCTTTCCTTTCCCTGGTAACTGGATGTCTTTATTCCCGCATCTGATTACGCAATCTTTATCTTTAACCTCACCCTCCTTTAATGATGTGTAATTTCGCTTGTCTGTTTCCATGATTTGAGTTGAACTCAGTACATTGTTACCTAACTTATTAGTCACTCTGCATCTAACGCACATTTCATCTTTACTACGTAACTCCTTTACCATTATATGCATACTTTTATTTTGTTTAAACTTGAACTGCCTGTCTAAAATCTATGTAAGCGCAATTTTCTGAGCACTGTTTACTAATTGTGGAACTTTCTGTCAACTGACAACATGTAAAATTTGCAAGTATGTTAAAACTTTTCTGTACGTAAACCTCATAATTTATTTAGGTTGTAAGCAACTGATGAGAAGCCAGCAAAATAAATTATGGTACCATATTATTCTGCACAAACCACTGATGTTCTTCCTTGATGGGTTTGTTGACAGCGTACACCGTAGCTTATCTTTTCTGCCTATCTGATCTTCAGTATCGAGTGAAGGCGGCTGTTGAACAAAGTCAGCTTTTGGTGACACACCAAGTCTCTAGGTCATATAGAAACACTAACTGAGTGACTTAACATTGGTTTTGAAAGCCCAAATCTGACCGCAGCAGATTTCCACACATATTTCAGAGTAATGAATGTCTGTCTTGCTTTCCCGATCCGCCCCTTGACATTCTCATTGTGCCGTATATTAGTTAAGTCTCAATTACCCATTACTGGGCTATGAGCCAAACTTGATATGTATGAGGCTAACGATACTAGCCAACTGTGCAGGCTAAAGTAGGTGGGACAGGACCCGAACTCGGACACCCATTGACTAAAAGTCGAGTGCCTAAGCCGATCCTCCACATCTTCACATGCCGGCTGTAGTTGAGACGATGCTTTCGAAATAAGTGATAGAAGTGACATCACTCAAATTTCTTGCATTGACAGTGATTAGTGGTGGTTGTTGTTTTATGACTGAAGGCTACGGTACGAATCAAATTAATTTGACAAAAACATCTCTTCAACATAAATTGTTTGTCTAACATCTTCAAATGAATTCCTCCATGCATAAAATTGTGAATACAATATACCATGTAAATTTTTAAAAAAATAACTAGAGAGTTAACATTACCTGAGCATGTTTTATAGACAGCATTGAAAGTAAGCCCGTAATTCGATCAGCATACGGTAGCACAGAGAAGAATGACTCAGGACCACGTGGACCTTTGCATTGACCTCCATTAATCCATATATGCGTACGACGATTGCCGTGTCGAGCTTTCCCAGTTTTCTTCTGAGGCCAAGGCTTTTTCCTACTTCTATACGGTAATTCAGCTCTAGTAGTTATACATCGCCAGTCCTAATTGTAACAGATAAAACAAATACCATCCAAATAAGCAGAAACCTTTCCAACAAGATATATACATATATGTCATACAGCTGGGTGACATCACGCTCCAGGTCATCGCTGGAGTGAAACGTCAATGGGAAACGACGAGGTGACATGGAGAAGATCGTGTGACGAGGAGATGAAAGCTTATGGGCAATCGTGGAGCCAGCTCAGGAGGACTATAGAGAACAGGAACAAAATGGAGATGTCCACTCGGAACCCAAGCGAATAATAATAATAATAATAATAATAATTGCATACAGGACATATAAGAAGCTAGAAGAAACCAATGAATAATTTCTTCGACTAACGTAGAAAATATAATTTGTACGTGGCAGTGTCTTCGATGCACCATCTATATAAAGCTTATCACAGTAGTCAAGTAACAACACCTATTGAATAAGACCTAGCGATACTACTTAGTTGCGCCAATTACACAGTTCGAGGTGAAATTTCACCACGATTTCCTTTGGGAATCGAAAGTATTCAGACTACAATATATGATCTGCTCTCATATCAATCGAATAGTAGTATAAAGCAATATGAGTTTTTGCATCAAGCAAATCACATAGTGTGTGTGTGACCTGAGTCATTTCGATTTCATGAGGAAACGATCGTGAAATTTTACCACCTCGTACTGTGTAAATCACAAATCGCGAATTAATTTTAAAATTGTTATAGTACCACAGTTTGCCCAAGTAGGCAGCCAGTCGGGTTCGGGTGGCTTGATCTGATTCCGCTGTCTGAGCTGAGTCAAACTAGGCACAACATCAACCAAATTCCAGTACTGGTTCAACAACAACGCCTTCGGTGGTTTGGCCATATTCTGCGCCGACCAGATGACGATCTGGTCAAATCAGTTCTAAATCCCTCGCCATTACCATCTTGGCGATGTCGCAGGGGTGGACAGCTGAAGACATAGCTTGGTACAGTCAAGGCTGATATGGAGTGCCTGGGGCTACAAACCGTCTACGGACTCCGCATGTGGAACAAGAATTAGATATCCCTGTCGCAAAACCTTGCATCAGATCGCCGCGCCTGGGCAGCGATGATTCGAGACGTTCATGAAACCGGCTTATCCTCCCGTAGGAGAGAGCCGAAGTAAAGTAAGTAAGTAAACTAGGCACACCACTGATGAACTCGGTCACAAAGAAGCGGAACAGCCACTGCGGGTGTTTAGATCACTTCAAACTGTCTAGAAAGCAATATCACTTGGGGTGAGTGGTATCCAACTGCCCATTTATGCCTAACCAGTTATTCAGATCAAAGTAAGTAGATTAGCCTAAACTATGTTTACAAAAAGATAACATAAAAATTAAAAGAATTCTAAAAGAAGAACGTTAACAAAAGGAATGTGTTCAACTTCATCGCTTCGTATGCTACAATCGTTTTTATTCCGAAACCACCACTTATTCTTGATAGTTAAAATTAGTCAGTATGAAGTTATTAGCATAGTTTCCTTGCATGTTTGTAATCATTAGTCAGGTATATCTACCTTCTATTGTAGAAAAAACGTCACTCGCGACTGAAAGTTCCTGAGTTTGTCATTATTTCATGTGGTAATAGATGTCACACTGGTGAAGTAATATGTATGAAACGCCCAGCCAACAGACATCAAATTCAGTGAAACTTGATATTAAGTCAGTTAGCCCAATAGATATCAACGTGGTCAACTGACATCTAGAACTAGGAAACAAGATGTTAGTAATCAGTCGGTGATGAATCAACACACTGGTTTATGTTTTAAACAATGGGATACTACTGCTTCAAATAACAACGCCTTTTATCTGCATATTACTGCAATTGCAGTCACTTAGAAGGTATGCTTCAAGTTGTGTTTCAATTAATTTTATAAATAAACTTTTTAATTTATGGTAAATTCTCATCCGAGCATTAACAAAACAAAACAAGAAAAGCACTACAGTGAGGAGTTTCTTTTCAGCGAATTCATTTTCTTTAGCTGTACAATCGCATTTATATACATACCCCCCACCCTATAAAAGTGGATACTAAGAAAGGGATGGATTATCATAAGAACAGTTGCTAGTATTAATAAACACATATGAGAAGTTGATTAAGGGTGATAGTGTAACAACAGAAGACAAGGGCCAGGCAACAGATCGTTTTATTATGAAAATCAACACGTATTTATACATCTTTCAACTACATTATTATAGACAAGCGCAGTCATCTGATTGGTTGTTTAGGTAGACAAACGCAGGCTTCTGATTGGTTGTTTCGGGATTCCTTGACAAACAGAGTTCTCTATCTGCGAATCATATTTTGCCACGTTAACTTTGCTGTGATTGGTTGTTGACTCAGCCTTGTTCACGGCCCATATTAATGACCTAGACCTTAACGTAGATTAGTGCCAACCAATCGGCTAGCAGCCTGCTCTCACCACACTCGTCCCCCCGTCAAATACGTGCGACTGAAGTCGGCTTGATCTACTTGGTGCAGGCGTCATCGTTGGCTTGTCTCGCTGTATCCATTTCTGGAGCTCGCTGACGTTCACGCGCCTCTCATTGTTCGCCATTGCGACTGTGTCTGCGTAACCCCATCTCGAAGTGACCATATATGGTCCTTCCCACTTTGGAAACTGTTTGCCTGACCCTGTCGAACATTCGTCCATACTTCGGCCCACACCTTCATATGCTGCTTTCGCCCGACCTCCCAGCAGCGTCTCAAGTAGCAGCTCCATCGCTGACAGATCTTGAACGCCACTCAACTGCGCAGAAGCCTTGAAGTCCTGCCGAAGATCCATATGTCTCCATCAAAAACTGCAGGGTATAGGCTTTTCATTTGTCGGTAGGCAGCGACACCAAATGTAACAACAGAAGACAAGGGCCAGGCAACAGATCGTTTTATTATGAAAATCAACACGTATTTATACATCTTTCAACTACATTATTATAGACAAGCGCAGTCATCTGATTGGTTGTTTAGGTAGACAAACGCAGGCTTCTGATTGGTTGTTTCGGGATTCCTTGACAAACAGAGTTCTCTATCTGCGAATCATATTTTGCCACGTTAACTTTGCTGTGATTGGTTGTTGACTCAGCCTTGTTCACGGCCCATATTAATGACCTAGACCTTAACGTAGATTAGTGCCAACCAATCGGCTAGCAGCCTGCTCTCACCACAATAGGATTACGCAATGAGATAAATAATTTAATAAGTGGGTTGTAATCAGCATGCACATAGAAAAGAGGGAAATTTTATGTTACCTAAGAGTTCAGGAAGATAGATGAGTCAGAAAAGGTCAGAGAAACAAAATAAGTAAAAGAGTTAAGTTGAAAACAATAAGGTTCTTACCATGATAATAGAAGGGAATAAAAGATTTTTTTGTATGCACGGTTTGTACATCGGAATGAGTAGAGTTTCAGGGGTACAAGTTGTAGTATCTTCATGCTGCTGTTAAGTTGAACGCACTCAGATCCCTCAGGATTACATTTTCGAGTAACACGCTGTTATTTCAATGGATTGATTTCTCTTTTTCCTCTCTGAACGTATGACAGAGTCTCGTGTTTCTTAGTGCAGTAATCTGTTATTCATGTTATGAACAGTCAATTAGTAAGAAGTTCTAGACCTAGGTTTCGTGCTTTTAGCAGTCATCCACAATGCATTCTGTAATCGTTGAGAAATTAATACTACCTTCATACATAGTAGCTGAGTAGTTTAGTGATAAAGTCAGAAGAAATTGACCATTAGGCAATTCATGTTATGACTGACTTCTTGGAGAACTTGGTTTTGTATCCCAAGTGGCCTACAACACTACTTCCAGGTCTTTTTTAAGTTTTGATTGTGTTGAATAAAGTCAGCTGATTAAGTGTATTATTCGTTCTTTACGTTTTGAGTGGAACGTGAGGCTTCAGCCGTATATCTTAATTGCATTCGGATCTCTGCTATCACTTGCAGCTGGCTCCAGGACTATTCACAAGATCTCATTTCCTACACGTGATCTCCTCCATGTCACCGTCAGACCAAAGCCCAACTCGTCGCTTCTCATTCAGTGATATGAATTGATCAAATGTGCAATTAGTTTATCAAGCTAAGCATTAAATTCTGATATCAACAGGAAGTCACAGACCTAGGATTCGTCCTTGTTAGTAACTATTCGTGCCGCTGAGGTGTGCAAGTACTGAATTCATGTCAACATCTTACATCAAATTAGATTGCACGTTACGGTCTGTAGTAGCGTTGTATCACTTATCTAAGTAGATATACAGCAAACCTAGTTAACATATTTCAGTTATTGCATTAATGAATAGACATATACACTGGCTAATATTCAGTGAGAAATTCGCATACATATTGTTTCATCCACTACTCAACTTATTACACCCAGTAACTCACTTTCATAATTAACCATATTTTACTACGTTACAACCAAATACATTTTACTTGCCTGTTGATTAAGCGTGTTGACTACAAGGCGTCGATGGTTCAATGATACAATGCTTGCCAGCCAAGAAGGAGGTTTGAGCATGAGTACAAGCCGACGTATTCTTTAACGTAGCCTGGCCGGTATTAAGCCCGGAAAAGAGGTAAGGTTGAGCATAAGGTCAGGAAAAGTCACTCAGTAAAAACAACTCTAACCACTAATGGAACCTAAAAGCTTGAAGCACTCTGGTCCTCTCACAAAGTAAAAGGAATGATGTATTGACTAATATAAGACATGGTATAGTGTTCCATAAGGAGATGTGACTCATCGGCTTAAAAACTCAACTTACAACTAATAGATATCGGTTTTGAGTACGCCTCTACTTACTTCAACTTAGACAACTGCGTATCATTACTACTCCTCACACAATAAGTGCAGTTCATAGCATAGAATATGAGAAATCTGTTCCGAGGAAGTGAGTTCAAACAAAGGAATCTGTTATGCATCAGTGCCAGATTTTACAGCAAAACAGTATAACAAATTCACAATAGTTGTAATCTCTAATTATTTCGAGAAGACTTCTACATACTGCATTAACATTTTTAAAGAAAATCTCATTAATTAACTTACTACTAGTCGATAATGAGCTTGCCAGTATAAATTCTTGTGTACAACATCAATACGTGGAAAAACAGCAAAAATATCTGGATGTAAATCAACCATACCAATAAGACCGTTCGATGTTAAAGATGTTGATAAACTGAATGGTTTAAGTGTTTCCACCCAGGTTAATCTAGGACTGTTGCCAACTGAACAGAATACAGGTGGTTGTAGTTTCCTCGATGTAATAATCGGTTCATTTGGGGGTTGTTGCTGTTGTTGTGTATAATCATGTTTGATATTTGTGTCTGGTACTTCAAATGAACGAGACGAAGTATACCTCGTTATAGGATTTACCGATAAACAATCAGATCCAAACTTAGCCTAAGAAAAACAAAACAAATGTACCGTATGCTGTCAAAATACTCCAATATAAAAAATTTTTTTTTTCATATCTAAGAAGTTAGTGGCCGTCGACAATTTTGTACACGAAGATTGTCGCAGCGACTGCAAAATAATATACCAATAATTGTACTACATTACAATCAATCGTCATTATTTATGTACACTCAGGTTGTGTTCAGGTGACTTAGTTACTCCGTGTCGCACATTATTGTATTTGAGGCCGCGAAGCAACTGCATTTTTTAGTTTGTAACTGAGTATTATCTAGTCAGTTCATGGAAAAGTCTCAGTAACTCAAAGACCCAAGTTACGAAACTCCAGTAGACATCTCAGCCTAAATTCCTCACTAAAGTTACTGACTCATTTTTTAGTGAAATAAAAAATTCAAAAGCAAACTAGGTGAGCTAGTTACCCAACACTGATTTGGTAATTTAATTCTAAAATTAGTAAATGGAAAAATAACTATCTTAAAATTTATGTAATCGCCTAGTGTGTGCGTGTTTTTTTTTAATGAAGGACTATATCTAAAAGTATAACTTCATATTACTTAATTCAGAATAGGCAGCCACTAAAATCTTTATGTTCTTAAGAATCATATTTGTAAATCCACTTACACCAAAACACACTTGTCAGTTTATGTACAATAGACAACAATTTGTCGATTCCCTTATTACGCTATGACATCTGCCTCATGATGAATAATTCAGATAATTATCACACTCTTCAGATAGAAAGATTTGTGTGCGTATGGAAGTGGGTGGGAGGTTATTACTCCCCGGTTGCCTATATCACAGAAGTTGGTATTCTCCCAATAAAGTATAGGGTCTTACCACATGATACAGCAGATGGCAATTAGCAGCTGACACTAATGACGTACACTGTTGCGTAGATTATAGTTGCACCTGTACGACTATCGAAAACTCACACAGATAATAATTGGATTCATTTACACACATACAGAGGTTAAACATTAATGTAATGAAAGGCAATAAACATAATGATTTCTAAAGGACTATGCAATGATATCTATCACGGAAAATTTATGTTACAATGAGTCTAATACCATAGGAACACTAAAGTTACCATTATCTAACAGAGTTGTATAAAAGAAAATTAGTGAATTTGAAAAGTGAACCATTAGAAGAGGTGTGTCCATCAGGACAATGAGCAGTCAAAAGAAAAGCGCAGTGAGTGATCAATTTTTTTCACCTACTCTGTTAATTGCATTGAAGTTTAGGATATTAATTAGTGGGATTAGTATAACAGAATTTTTCAAGTGGTATCATTGCGTATCCCTTTTGGTATGCAATTAATGTGCAGTGGGTGATCGCAGTACTGTATTTACTAGTTTCATCTATTGAAATATATATAACACTATTGTGGAGCATATATGTTTCGAGAGAAATTTCCACGAGTGGATAGCTAATTACCAGTAGACAGACAGCCACTTACTCCATTTAAACAGTTCACGTACATTGGTTGCATCACTGAAGCTTTTACGCGGCATCGTTGTTGTACACTGAATTTACCATATCTTACGGCGCTGCCTAGATAAAATAATCCCATTCGTTTTAATTTCACAGCGATTGTTATTAAGTGAGTTAATGAAATGCATAGAATAGCACTGACAATATAATGTACACAAACACTCGATTGGTATGTATGGCAGATGATGAAAATGTAGTATGCTTGCGTTCACTAACGATATTGAAGACAACTTAATATTACTATCTCAAATTGTGGCAGCCATCGATATGAGGAACAGCCTTCACTGTTATAAAACTTCGTAACTCATGAAATCTAAGGATTAACATCACTACTTCTATCATTCTGTGGGAATACCACTAATACGCCAAACTTCATAATTCAGGAATCGCTGTTTGGACGCTCTACTAAAGGAACGGTAAGAGTATAACACCAGTGTACACTCAGGGTTGAATAATGTTGTGGACAGTAATCTCGAGGTATTGAAATTATTGATTCGCGGGAAATTAAGTGAATAAAGGAAAATGAGACAGCATCTAGACTTGTATACGAGATGTACGACACACGCTATACCTGTCAGATATCTTCTAGTTGTTTACTTATACTTTAAGGCAATTCACAATAGCATACAGACTGAATTCGAATCCTGTACGAAAAATGCGATAATTCAGGCATTAAAGAATATAGATATGATAGAGAAGATTTGTAGCTCAGGTGGATGATTTCGATGTGGTCGTGTTCTCTGAGCTGGATGGTTAATTTGCGAAGCTTTCATCACCCTACTGGGTGACATCTTCAGCGCATACTTCAATTTGAAGTTTTCAAATCAAACACTTCAACTTGAAGTATGCGCTGAAGATGTCACTCAATAGGGTGATGAAAGCTTCGCAAATTAACCATCCAGCTCAGAGAACACAACCACATCAAAAAACTAAAGAATATAATTCAAAGTAGGAAGAAGAAAAGATTAAAAAATAGGCCAATAAACATATAAAGAGTAATAGGGATTTTTAAAATATCTTTAGTGTGTAGACTAAACATGCTACTCAGTAATAAGATGATATACTAAAAATGTTAGATCTCAGTCTAAGTAACTTATATTTGTACAGAGTAGTCCAGTCACATCAATATATTTCTACTTACCAGTACTCCAGAAATCCCACGGATATGAAAGATCATAGTTGGTAATTTGCACTACTCTTTCCGAAAGGTATACGATAGAAAAAGAAATACCTAAGTGGCACCTCACAGGTGAAGTAGGCCAGTAAGGTATCTTTCAACAAATCTTATCTGAAACAAAACAAGAGTATTTTCAATATAATAATTGACTTATCTCCTAAATTTCGTAATAAATTATACTACATTAGAGGGTACAGACAAAAAACATCTCTACAAAATTATCTGGCCAGACAATCACCTGTCTAGTGTACACAGGCAAAATTAACTTTTAAAGACAAAAGCACATACAGGCCTAGTACATGATCTAGCCGACAAAGGTCGTGAAGGAATACACTTTTCTCTACTAGCTAATTCACTCTCCACTGCGAATGTAGTAGCTCTAGCAAATGTAAACAAAATAAAAAAACATCTTTTCCTTTTAATTCCTATGTTTGAGAACCCGGAGATGAGGCATCATATTGATGAGTAATGTACTCAACGCCTAATAAGCAATTAGATATCTTTTCTGCTCTGTAACTGATAAACTTAGTCAAAAGCCGAAATATCCTTATGTTAAACAGATAGAATAGTATTCATTACTTTAAATCATTTTGATTGTTTAGAAGTATGATCTGCTATCTTAAGTCTTTCAACAGCATTACGACTGACGGAGCCTTCATTCAGCTACGAAGTCCTGAAGCAACAGCAGAAGACTTAACAAACATAGAACAGAGTGGTATATGACGACATACTACACAGTTAACTTTAGATGGCAAAATTCTGACAGATTCTAGAACATAGAAACACTTTTCGGCGTCCAACAATTGTCATATTTCTTGACTTGAAGGCGGCCTTCGACTCCGTGGATCGAAAGGTACTATGGCAATGTCTGACTGTGAAGGGAGTGCCAAGAAAGTACATTGCACTAATCAAGGCACTCTATTCAAACTCATATAGTCGTGTAAGGGCTTATGGGGAATTGTCATCTGAATTGGTAACAACCAGTGGTGTCCGACAGGGATGTCCACTTTCCCCATTTCTGTTTAACTTCATCATAGATATGCTGATGGAAGTATCCTTAACTGAACGTAATGACTTAGGAATCGACTTGTTACTAGGGAATAGTCTTATGGACTTAGAATATGCAGATGACATAGTCCTGTTAGGGGAGGATGCTGACAAAATCCGCAGAGTCTTCTGAACACCTTGAGCAGCAATCTTAGTATGTTTGGCATGCGACTCGCCCCTGCAAAATGCAAGATGCTGCTACAGGACTGGACCACGTCAACTCCTAGCTTAGTGATAGGGAGTTAAGTGATAGAACATGTTGACCACTTCACCTATTTGGGAAGTTGTATCAGCACCAATGGACTGATTGGCGATGAAATCTCAGCACGGATCCAAAAAGCTCGAGCTGCTTTCGCTGACTTACACCATCTCTGGCGTAGGCGTGACATCCGGCCATCAACCAAGGGACGTGTGTACTGCTCAGAAGTTCGCTCCGTCCTTCTCTATGGCTCTGAAACATGGCCAATACGAGTTGAAGACATGAAAAGGTTGACTGCCTTCGATCATAGATGTCTGCGATCTCTGTCTCACGTTAGGTGGTTTAATAAGGTAAGTAATGTTGACGTTAGGCGTAGAGTGTTGGGCAAAGAGGGAAAATCAATCGACGAGGCTATAAAGTTACATAGACTGAGATGGCTAGGTCACGTGCTGCGCATGCCTAACCATCGCCTCCCCCGACGGGCATTAGCTAGCTGATATAGGTGCAGGTTGGAAAAGAGTGAGTGGTGGCCAAACAAAAACATGGCCTCATCAATCCATGAAATCCTTGACAGTTAAACTGAGTCAGGTAGGGAGATGCAGACTTCCGGGTTGGGGCCCTCTGGACTCTAGGAATCAATGGCTGGAGACAATAGGTGACATGGCTCAAAATCGTTGTCAATGGCGCAGATGTATTCAGTCTCTGTAATCTTTCATATTCCTTTCTACCATTACCCATTCCGTTTCACTCGTATACTTGTCAAACTCTATTGATTCTCTTCACTCATCTTCTTGTCTACCTTTGTGTGCTATTTGGAACGTGGCAACTCGAACTGGTGCACTTCGGTGCCAATTTCTATGTTGAACCTAGACAGAGACAGACAGATGGCAAAAGCAAAACGTCAAGTGTCGCAAACCTGGCCAAAAGCTGGTACACGTTATTCTGGCTTTTGGAATATGACTAAAACTTCATGTCACACTGAAATTCATAAGTAATTGAGATACAAACTTCTCAAATATAATAAGCGGTGAACCTGCACGAATTTATGTTGACTCAAGCCCCTACAAAACCGAATAGCACATTGATAGATACTGGATACCAAGTGATTAAATGCGATGAGCATTCTGTATTTTTAGACACTAAGTCTGAGAGGATTCACTTAATTCCAGTTACATCGGTTTGTGATGAAATCCACGTTGGAATGAATCTGTGTGGTTTCACAATAAGAAAATGAAACGTTACTCGATAAAGCCTGAAACTGATTAAACAGATACACCAAGTCTACACAAAATACAGTAGGGAGACGGATCACTTTAAGTAATCACGCTACACATTACCATAAGGAAAACGAATGCGAAAAACAAAAAAATAATATATGTTATTTGAGAGTGAGTAGCGGTCAAATTAAAACTAGAAATCAATCCATGAAGATTTTGAAAGTAAGTGTGAGCCACATAGGGCGGGGTCCGCGGGATGCTAAGATGCTGGGGATTACTGGTAATAGGGCCTCTGAGACCCCTGACACACACCCACTACAGCCGCGTAATTTCCATGTTGCTATCCTTTCACCTGCACATTTCTGCTAATTAAAATTCTTTGAAAATTCCTTCTTTACCTTTGTAGGCTACAGTGAGTGTGGCAACTTGGACTATTGTACTTCTGTGCTAGGTTCTACGTTAAAATTCAATCAATGAATACGGGGAAGAGTGAGTGTAAGTGGGAAATAAAGGATTAAAATGTTGGTTAATTCAGATACGGTAAGGGGTGGATGGATGTACTGTTAGCTATTTACCCCAAGCTAACTGTAGTCGAATATGCATTAGGTGGTTCTAATCTAAAACGTTTGTATGCATCACAACCTGTAGAAATATTTTAGTGTAGCGACTAAGTGAAGTACTAGCAAAAGTATGAAAGCTCGAGACGGCCTTAGTTTGTCAATAAGGAATCATCATCCTGTGATAAATAAAAAGGTCAACTTAATCAACATGGTATCTAAGATCGTATGATACAATTATGCGAAAACGAAGTGGAACCCAGGAAAACAAACTTTAGGTGACTAGGTGAGTGCACAGTGATAAAATAATATCTTCACACCCTCCAAAGCAAGTTAATGATCATTAAATTCCAACACACCAGACCAGATCTGGTCATTCAAGAGTTGCTGCAGATTTATTTGACCGTGGACTGTCAAATAAGTACGAGATGTTAATCACTAGTGTCTACCTAATCAGGTCTATCTGTATTAAGACTTACGACGAGTTGTCCCTTGAGATGACGAGAATTAGTGTTCCTGATAATGGAAACCCAATGTCACTATTATTATTATTATTATTATTATTATTATTATTAGTAGTAGTAGTAGTAGTAGTAGTAGTAAATATACCTCCTTTAGAGTGTATGATACGTCATACATTATATGAGAAATGCTCATTTGTCCCTCTACCTGTGGGTGAAATTATACACTATGCACCAAAATAACGCAGCGTACAAATGACTTTAAATGCACCAATCTCAGGAATAAGGGATTTTTACGTATAAAATACATATATTTAGGAAAATAATGAATAAAAAGGGACGTAAGTGCTATGGAAGATACCTAATTTAAGTTCTTAAAAGAAAACCACAAATATTTGAAACATAGTGTTACTAAAAGCAGGAAGACTCCTCATCACAAAAGCCTTTACTAAAATCTGCAAAGCACAACTGACCTTCAAAACTCATCAAATAACCGCAAGTGTACAATATCCAATTTATTTATTTTTTTCCATCTTACAAACTAATATAAGGAATCGTTACTCCTTTGAAGCTATTTATTGACTGGAGTACCTTACTCTCTCTGGATTATCCTGTTATCAGTGCATTCAACCACCTGCAGAGGCTGTGGTAAATGATGGTGGCATTAGAGTCTACAGACTGTTAACCATGGTAGGCCCCCTCTAGTAAACTCTGCTTTACGGTGAAATTTCAGTAACGTATCGCAGTGACGCAACAATGCTCTTCACTGGTGAATGCTAGTGGCTCATATTTTGATGCAAGAAACAAACCTCCAAACTTTGATAGTGTTGCCCCAATTTATAGGTGATATCCTGTCACGTGGATGTCTACATAAACGAGGAGTAGTCTGGATTAATTAGCATACAATTCATCAAGCAAGATTAGGAATGTAAATATAGTGCCACCAGTTTGATCGGACGTTGCAATGTCTCCTCATAACGTGGATATATTTTTGCCGATTTCTGGAATATTGTGGTGGATATTACATCGCTCCTCAACTATAGCTTATATTGGCTGCTACTTTAGCCTCCAATTACGCAGATATATCACCGCCAGTTATCAAGCTTGGATCCACTCTTTTGCAGCACTCATCCTCCTTATTGTAACTTTAGAACAACGTCGCAGGAAAGGAAACTATAGAGAAGTTCTTTTTTTTGTTGTTCTCATATCAGGATCAATTTTCAGGATAATTGGTTTCTATACGCTCTGTATTTTATGGTTAAATACTTTGCCAATTTATTGTTTATTTATAAGCAATAAAATTCCATACCGTGGCCATAGTAGTATTTAATCTGTATATCCACTCGATATACTATTTGTCCATATACCTGTTTCGATTTAGCTCAGCTTCAACTTTAAACCATAATTATCATTGTTCAGCAATGGCACAACGTAATGAACGAGTACTTTCCATGAGTAAAAATAGTTTAGGTCACTCAGCTAAGAAGATACGTACATCACTGTGCGTTCCACGTAGCCT